TTTAAAATCATCTTTAAGAATAACAAAACCATAACTGGTTGATATATTAATTTCTACTTTTTCATACCCACAGTGCTCAGGTATGCGATGTGGCCAATGTGGCTTTTGTATTTTTTATTTGCTATTTTTACTTATACCATTTAGCAGAATTTTTAGCGAGGATTTAATTTTGGCATTATTAGCGAAGGTACCGACATCGCAAAAAATTATTTGTGTTACAGTTGTAAAAGTTTAAGTTAACATTTCAAAATCCCTAGTACCGTATAGCCGGTTATTTTGGCGGGGATATAATTTGGCCTATTTTGGCAATTTATAAAAATTCACCAAAATAAAAACCGCCTAATTTGTAACCTACACACCTTGTGTTTGTATATTCCCCATTTTTGAATGGTCACGGCAAATCACCGGTAGAGCTTTCACCGTTAAATAAGCCAACAAATAGTTACAAATAATTAAAGATATAATTATCCATACTGATATTATTTTGATTAAACAAAAATATTTAGTTTATATAAATTTATCTTTTTTTATTTAGATTTCATCAGTGCCAAAACTTTTACTCCAATCAATCCTAAAGTTATAAAGGTGTCATGCTTGCTAAACAATGGATTCAAATCATCTGTTATTTAAACGGCACACTTATGACCAATGAAGTTTTTTCAACAATTAATGTTTAAAACTACATGCACTTGGAATGCATTGTCAGCAATATGTATATATAAACGGATTTAGCTAACGGAAAAAATAAGTTTGTGATTTACTTTCGTTTTCAATTGTATACAAATATTTTACTTCTTTAAAAATGTTCTTTACATTATTATTTCTGAGGATTTCCAGACACTTTGGCAAGTTTGGGAGGACGTGTGCAATCATAACAAGAGCGCATTCTTAACCTGCAACTTAATGGTAATAAATTTGAATTCACCAAAATACTATCCACCAAAATTAATGATATATCCTAACAACCTAAAATCGCCAAATTTGTGTCTCGCCAAAAAAAAAAAACGGCTATACGGTAGTACATCTCACTAAAAATTAAATACCCAATTTTAAGGACAAATGCTAAAGAACTATATATGCGGTATATTACATATATTTGCCCCCACAAAAGTCAAATTTTGAAAACTTCCTGAAATGTGCTGAATTCAATAAATTGCATGAGAAATATAAAATAACAGAAAATATTATATTGTCAAAGCAGTGTATTCACAATTTTTGTTTTTATGACGTCTCAACAATTTTAGCTTTAAAATTTATGCAGCGCAAGTTTGTTCAGGAACAATTTTGACATATTTCATTGATATTATCATTCTACACATTATATCATTATCAAAATATTGATCCTGAACACACATACGCTCGGTGACTTTTACTCAAAATATCGACGAAATATGTACATTTTTCTGTAAAATTCATAAAAATCTGAAATTTACGTTATGTTTGTGACGTCATTATGTACAAATGGCATCATTACTTATGAAAATATTCAGTGTTTTGAAGTCAGCATATACTCTCTTGTTTAAGAACTTAATATGATATATCTTCATCAAAGTTTGATTTGGGGGGGGCAAATATTGGTTATTACCGAATAAAGTTCTTTGCATCTCACAAAAATTTCCACTTGTTCATTAAGAACTGGGTACATTATGTATTACAAGGCGGCCCTGTAAAATCGGCAAACATTAAACGCACGATAACATTTATTAAACTGTGTCAATTTATTGTTTAGGTTCCCCTTTGTGAAAAATTGGTATCAATTTTCTTCAGCTCACGTGACCTTTTGTGTAACACTCAACACCGGTCATATATTCCGGAAATCACCTATTTTGGACGTTTTTCTACTCTTCAAGTTAACATTTCGATGTGGCTACATCCGAGTACATATGCAAAACTTTGCAGAAAGAACAAGTGTACTTTGGCAACTAATATGCAAGAAAAAAAAATAACTGTACAAAAGTGCGGCCACGTCCGTTTTTAAGAAAAACTTTAGTTGAAAATACTTCGTTTTTGGATAGATGTAACTTTTCCTCCTCCTCATTACCGCCGAAATATGGCTGAAATATTGCCAGACTCGGCGTTAAACAATACAAAATCAATCAATCCTCCTCATTAAAATCTATACTTTTAAAGAAATTAAATGTTGAAGTCTGAATCTGATTGTGTTATTATCTAATCTGTACTTTTACGGAAACTTATTGTTTAAATCTGTATCTGAATGTTATGAAAACCACATAATCTTTTCTACGTAAAATTTATAAAGGGACATTGCATGGAAATCAATGACGCAATACATTAAAAACAAGACGTCACCATGTGACATATGTTGAATAACAGAATTTTTCAGTCTTCCATAATAAAATAACAATATGATAAATTTTCAATCAATACATTCAATGAAAAACAGTCAATTGATTTATACACGTACCTCTTATCAAAACGAGCGCCTCCTTCGTATTTGACATGATGTTGACGTTATGTTCAAGAAAAGATTTTTTCATGTTTTTATTGAAAATAATCATGCAGCTTTTCAAAAGTATGATTTAGATTATATTTATCATGCTGTATGTTCTCAGTGCTTTCAAGACAGGTTTAAATTAAACATGCAATTCAAAAGCGGATCCAGGGCCGTTGCATCGAGCCCCCCCTTTCCCCCGAATCCACGGTTTGATTGTTAAAATTTCCTTGTATTTTGTTAAACAAGCATGTAAATAATTATTTTTTTTTATTACTAGCATTAAACACAAACTTATCAGTAGATCTACACGTACGGTATGAGATATTCCGAAAATAATGATTTACCGCCATGGCAATGTATTATAAAATTCCTGCAAGGTGACGATTGGTTTTCTCAATCAAGGGTGGGGGGGTGTCATTTTATAAGCAGCGTTTCGTTCCCCGGGCCTTACCAGGAATGTGCTCCAAACCCCCATGGGGCTTCAACGCAGCTCCATACACCCTGCCCTCTGTACCACCTCTCCCCTGTTATTAAATTCCTGAATCTGCAACTGTAATCTATAAGGAGTTTAGATTAAGAAATAATATTATTTTAACTAATATTGTATGGCTACAGTTGTGAGTGTTTTCCGAAATTTTTGTGTAATTTTAAAAGGAAACATGGTGCAATTCTTTAACATTATTTTCAAAACTAAGGAGTTGTTTTTAAGCAATATATTTAGAATAAATTTTTACTTCATTGCTTTTAAGTATAGAAAATAAGACACGTCGGTCTTTACCCAAAATGATTTTAAACACTTTTTATTATTCACCTGTATAGTGGAAAAAGAGAAAGGAAATACATGTAAAAAAAAAAAGAAAAAGAAAAGTAAAATTTTGTTTACAATGGAATTCATCTATGTCTAATTTCTGATTTCTGTACATATAATCATCAAAAAACGTAGCTTGACACACTACCTAAAACAATTTTTGCTAAATTTACAGATGGAAAAAGAAGTCTTGTCATCTAATTCTAAGATTCAAAGTCAGGCTGTGATTGGACATGCAAGTATAACACCTTTTAATTGTGGGTTATGCACCAAAGTGTTCAAAGACTTGAAAACCTTACAGAAACACATTCGAAACCATACAACTGATGAAGCTTTTCAATGTGATTTCTGTTTAAAGAACTTCAGCCTGTCTCGTAACTTAATCAAACATAAAAGAATACATACTGGAGAAAAACCTTATAAATGTGATGTGTGTGGGAAAGCATTCAGCCAGTCACAACACTTACAGACACACATGAGGATACATACAGGTGATAAACCTTATAGATGTGATGTGTGTGAGAAGGCTTTCAACAATTTAAGTAACTTTAACTGCCACATGAAGCTTCACACAGGTGATAAATCTTATCAATGTGATGTGTGTGGAAAGGCATTTAACCAATCACAGAACTTACACAAACACAGACTCAAAACATACAGGTGATAAACCTTATAAATGTGGTGTTTGTGGACAGGCATTCGGCCATTCACAGAATTTAAAGAATCACATGAGGACACACACTGGTGAAAAACCTTATAAATGTGAAGTTTGTGAGAGAACATTCAGTCAGACAATACACTTACAGACACACATGAGGACACATACAGGTGATTATCCTTATAAATGTGATGTGTGTAGCAAGGTATTCATCCAATTACAGAACTTACAGAAACACATGAGCACACATACTGGTGATAAATCTTATAAATGTGATGTGTGTGGGAAGTTATTCACCTGGAAAGATAACTTAAAGGGACACATGAGAATACATACAGGTGATGAACCTTACAAATGTGATGTTTGTGAGAGATTTTTCAAATATGCCAACGATATAAAAAGACACATGAGGACACATACTGGAGACAAACCTTATAAATGTGATGTGTGTGGCAAAGAATTCAGGCAGACACAACACTTACAGAAACACATGAGGACACATACAGGTGATAGATCTTATAAATGTGATGTTTGTGGAAAGTTATTCATCCGGAGAGATACCTTACAAATGCACATGACTGATACATACTAAGAGAGAAACCTTATAAATGTTATTTCTGTCCAAGAGCATATTGTAAAAAGTCAGATCTTGATGGACACCTGAAGATACACACGTGATAAACACATAATAAACCTGTTAGATGGGTGATGTGTCGAAAGACACTCAACCGATGACAAAAATTAAAGATCTTCATACAGACATATACTGATTACAGGCGAGAAACATTAGTATTGTGATACTTGTATTTCATAAGATTGAATGTTTTTCTTTAAGCATAAAAATATATAACCATAAAGGGCATATAAAATGATATTATCAAATTGACATAGATAATTCGAATAAAATTGATATTTGCTAATCTGAATTCCCTCTACTTTTCTTAAGTTTTAAGGATATATTAGTTATTTTATATGCTTCCTATATCTAATTTTCTTATTTTTACATATAGTACAGTTGTTACATAAAGGTACAAAATGATACAAAAACTAAAAGTTTTGATGGCTGAACCAAGTTTTACATAGGAATATATAGGAAAAATCTTTAAAAATCTTCTTCTTAAGAACCACTGGGCCAGGAAAGATGAAACTCATGTGGGATTATCCTCAGATAGTGTAGATTCAAGTTTGTTCAAATCATGACCCCTGGGTGTAGGGTGGGGTCAAAATGGCTGATCGAAGGTTAACATAGGATATATATATATATAGGAAAAATCTTTAAAAATCTTCTTCTGAAGAACCACTGGGCCAGCAAAGATGACACCCATGTTGCATCATCCTCAGGTAGTGTAGATCTCAAGTTCATGTTCAAACCAGGACCCCTGGGGGTAGGATGGGGCCAAAATGGCCAATCTAGGTTTTACATAGGAATATATAGAAAAATCTTCTCAAGATCCATTGAGACAGGAAAGATGAAACTCATGTGGAATCATCCCCAGGTAGTGTAAATTCAAATTTGTTCAAATCATGACCCCTGGGGGTAGGGTGGGGCCAAATGGCTGATAAGTTTTACATAGGAATATAAGGGGAAACCTTTTAATATCTTCTTTTCAAGTACTTCAAAGCCATGCTTAGTGATATTTTTAGGGAATCATTCTCAGGTAGTGTAGATCCTATTTTGTTCAAATCATGACCCCCTGGGTGTTAAAATTCAAGCCCCCCCCCCCCCCCCCGAAGTAAACTTTCAGTTCTGATCTGATATGTGCTCTCTCCTAGCCAATTGCTCAGGTGAGCGATGTGGTCCCTGGGCTTCTTGTTATTATTCATCTGTATAGTGGAAAAAAGAGAAAGGAGATACATAAAAAAAAGCAAAATTTTGTTTGCAATGGAATTCATTTATGTCTAATTTCTGTTTTCTCTATATATAATCATACAAAAAACTTAGATTGACACACTACTTAAAACAATTTTTACTAAATTTACAGATGGAAAAAAGTGTTGGTCATCTAATTCAAAGATTCAAAGTCAGGCTGTGATTGGACATGCAAGTATAACACCTTTTAATTGTGGGTTATGCACCAAAGCGTTCAAAGACCTGAATACCTTACAGAAACACATACGAAAGCATACAACTGATGAAGCTTTTCAATGTGATTTCTGTTTAAAGAACTTCAGCCTGTCTGATAACTTAATCAAACATAAAAGAATACATACTGGAGAAAAACCATATAAATGTGATTTGTGTGGGAAAGCATTCAGACAGTCAATACACTTACAGGGACACATGAGGAGACATACAGGTGATAAACCTTATAAATGTGATGTGTGTGGAAAGGCAGTCAGTCAGCCACATAGCTTAAAGAGTCACATGATGATACATACAGGTGATAAACCATATAAATGTGATGTGTGTGGGAAAGCATTCAGCCAGTCACAACACTTACAGCGACACATGAGGATACATACAGGTGATAAACCTTATAAATGTGATGTGTGTGGGAACGCATTCAACAGATTAAATGCCTTACAGACACACATGAGGATACATACAGGTGATAAACCTTATAAATGTGATGTGTGTGGAAAGGCAGTCAGTCAGCCACATAGCTTAAAGAGACACATGAGGATACATACAGGTGATAAACCTTATATTTATGTGTGTGGGAAAGCATTCAGCCAGTCACAACACTCACAGCGACACATGAGGATACATACAGGTGATAAACCTTATAAATGTGATGTGTGTGGGAACGCATTCAACAGATTAAATGCCTTACAGACACACATGAGGATACATACAGGTGATAAACCTTATAAATGTGATGTTTGTGGAAAGGCTTTCAACAATTTAAGTAACTTAAACTGCCACATGAAGCTACACACAGGTGATAAATCTTATCAATGTGATGTGTGTGGGAAGGCATTTACCCAATCGCAGAACTTACACAAACACAGAAGGATACATACAGGTGAAAAACCTTAATAAATGTGATGTGTGTGGGAAAGAATTCAGCCAGACAAATCAATTAACACACATGAGAATACATACAGGTGATAAACCATATAAATGTGATGTGTGTAAGAAAGCATTCAGCCAGACAAATCACTTACAGACACACATGAGAATACATACAGGTGATAAACCTTATAAATGTAATGTGTGTGAGAAAGCATTCAGCCAGACAAATCAATTACAGACACACATGAGAACACATACGGGTGATAAACCTTATCAATGTGATGGACATTCTGGTGATAAATCTTTTCAATGAGATGTGTGTGGGAAGGCATTCAACAATTCAGGAAACTTACAGACGCATATGAGGACACATGTGATAAACCTTATAAATGTGATGTGTGTGAGAGAACATTCAGCCAGACAATACGCTCACAGACACACATGAGGACACATACAGGTGATTATCCTTATAAATGTGATGTGTGTAGCAAGGTATTCATCCAATTACAGAACTTACAGAACACATGAGCACACATACTGGTGATAAATCTTATAAATGTGATGTTTGTGGGAAGTTATTCACCTGGAAAGATAACTTAAAGGGACACATGAGAATACATACAGGTGATGAACCTTACAAAGGTGATGTTTGTGAGAGATAATTCAAATATGCCAACGATATAAAAAGACACATGAGGACACATACTGGAGACAAACCTTATAAATGTGATGTGTGTGGCAAAGAATTTAGGCAGACACATCACTTACAGAAACACATGAGGACACATACAGGTGATAGATCTTATAAATGTGATGTTTGTGGAAAGTTATTCACCCGGAGAGTTACCTTACATATACACATGATTATACATACTGGACAGAAACCTTGTAAATGTTATTTCTGTCCAAGAGCATATTGTAAAAAGTCAGATCTAGATGGACACCTGAAGATACACACGTGATAAGCACATAATAAACCTGTTAGATGGGTTATGTGTCGAAAGGCATTCAACCGATGACAAAAATTTAAGATCTACATACAGACATATACTGATTACAGGCGAGAAACCTTAGTATTGTGATACTTGTATTTCAAAAGATTGAATGTTTTTCTTTTGCATAAAAATATATAACCATTAAGGGCATATAAAATGATATTATCAAATTGACATAGATAATTCAAATAAAATTGATATTTGCTAATCTGAATTCCCTCTACTTTTGTGAAGTTTTAAGGATATATTAGTTATTTTATATGCTTCCTATATCTAACTTTCTCATTTTTACATATAGTACAGTTGTCACTTAAAGGTACAAAATGATACAAAAACTAAAAGATTTGATCGATTACTAAAGAGAGAAATAACACTTTTTATGGATTTTTGGCTCAAATCTGTATTTTGATTTGAAGCATTTAAAAGCCAACATAATTCTAGTATGTGTGAAAATCTTATTTATTTGATATAGTTTGAAACTTAAATTTTCTATTATTAGTCTAGTCTTTGATTATTTAACCAAATTCAATGTTGTATAATAATTTTGAGAGGCAGAAAAGAAGATATTTTCATACGCCACCATTCCGCCAAGAATATAGTCCCTAATTTACAACGCAGTTTACCATTTCTATTTAAAGTAGTACAATTGTGACGAGGAAAAAAAATATGGTCTTTTAAATTTCTTATAACTAAATATATAAGACATATAAGCAAAAAAAAAAAAAAATAGGGTCTTTTAAATTTCTTATAACTAAATATATAAGACATATAAGCAAATATACTTTGGATATTTATTATGTCAGAAATTAGAGGAGTATCTTACCTTAAACTCTTCATGAAATCACCAAAACGTTTCTACAGTTAGTGGAATTTTGCATGATCCAAACGTTTGATCAACTTTGATTATCAGCTGTTTGTATGGGAAACATGCAGGTTTTAGACGAAGTGTGAATTTGGTTGTAGGAATTTCTTTAACCCGCTTTTTGCCATTTAGGTAAATCTACCTTTCTCAATACCATGAATTCACTAGATACACGTCTTTGTCATTGACCGGAAACTTGATAAAAAAAAATCATGTACAATACCGAATAATCTGACGTTTTATCTGGCTTTTTTTACGATTTTGATATTTTACATGCCAGGAAAAAGTTAGAACCGGTGCCATTACGAAAACTGGGAATTTCACCGTCTCCACCCGAAGTTGATTTTCTATACTTGGGGACCGATTCGATGCCGAAATCACAATTTATCAATGGCACAATGCTCTAAAAACTCACCAATATCGATGGATAAAAATTACCATTCCGCAATCCGATTCAGAACTTGTACGATTTTAAAATGCATGAAATGAAAACAAATCTCAAAAGTCAGATAAATGTGTTCATTGGATTATATTATTTCATAAAAGAAACATAAAAACAATGTTGGTGAGTACTAAAGATGTTGTACTAGTGATAAAATGTTAATTCAGCATTTAATTTGGTTTACAAGTATCGAAAATTAACCTCTAATGCCGCCTGCGGTGGGAGGCGGCGATTTCCCAGTTTCTGTGAGGGCGAGGGTTCTGACGTTTTCCTTGCATGTAAAATATCAAAATTGTAAACAGCCAGAAAAACGTCGGATTTTTCGGACTAAGTACAATACGAACTTCTTTCAATGTCCTTGCTTGACATTTATGTTTAATACATGTGCAAGTAGAGTTTATTTGAAGTTTCTAAATTAAAACAGTACCAAGATATTTGAGTCCACTCTTGAAGCGGATCTCTCACACCTGACTTTTTCTGATGTTTGAAATTTTTGACAGTTTTTCAATTTAGTTCATTTTCTTTTTTTTTTCATTGTAAGGGAATAAATATCTTTTAATTTGGTATTTGCGACCGTAAATGCTGATTTAACGGTCGCAAACTGAGTTTTACCGGCGACGCGTAAGCGGAACCGGTAAAACGGATGTTTGCGACCGTTAAATCAGCATTAACGGTCGCAAATACAAAATTAGAAGTTAAGTTTTTCCCATTCTTATGCAATCAATGCATTTTGTCTGTTGTTTATGTCTTATTTTGTTGAATTTTGTTACATGAAATACGTCACGGAGCATTGTGTTTTTGGGTCGCTCTATTATGACGTCACAATGAAAAAGCTTTCACGCTAGTTATAATGCTCGTTTTACTGCTTCAGACATGAGTGCATTAGCCAATCAAAACGAGTTTTACAAAATAATTGCATTAGAATGAAATTTTAATTTTTCTTTTGTCTATTTTTGTAAATTTAAACAAAAATTGTGTTGATTTTATTTCTAACTTTCTTGGTTATTATTTCAATATTTTGCAACATTTATCTTTGAAGAGAAATTTAAAGCACTGTGCTTTTAAAAATAAATATAGGAGGGGTTTTAAGAAAATAAATAAAATATTTCAAATATTTGTAAAAATAAATTGAAATACTTTGACACCTTATTTAATCAGATATGGAGCATGCAACAAAAATGCATACAACAACAAAAAATAGTTACATGTATACTTTATAGGTGTCGAAATCCTTCTTAACTAACTTATGTGTCTTACGTAAATCGTTTACTTTAAAGGTGCCTGGACACGGATTTGAAGTTAATATTTTCTGTATGATACGACTTTAATATTCTAAAATCGTTTCACACAAAAATAAATAAAAAATCTTATTTCATCTAAAATTTATTAATCCTTCAAATTTTTGGCTGGTTTGATTAACACATCCTTCATTTTAACATAGAGCAAAAGTGCTTTTGATAGTCACTTACGCTTTTTTAAATACATTGTTTAACCAAAATTTTGTCATACAATGTTAGTTTATACATTTCTAAGAGCAAATCACACAACAATAATATTTAAATATTAATAGTTCCCTCATATGTTAGGTATGAAAATCATTAAGTTTATATGGAGAATTTAGTAAATACTGAGGTATCCCCCTAAACAATGACAAACTGTAGCAGAAGACCACCCTTAACCAGAAAAACAACTTCTGAATAATTTTATTTTGATATGACTGCACTTCATTACATTTAGATAATTTTGGTTAATGGTGGTCTTCATATTGAATATATTTTTAAAAACGTAAAAATTTTCATCACAAAATTATCTTAAGATTCAACAATCTGTCCTAAATTTATCCATCTAAATACAATGACTTCGTGGCGAAGTGGACTGTAAAATAATGATCGTGGGTTCAAATCTTACTTATGCTTTTTTACTCTGTGCATTTTTCCTGTTTTTCTTTTATAATTTATTATACATGTATAAAAACTGTAAGAAAATATCATAAAATACAACATTACACTTTGAAAGTATATGGGGAAAAAAGTCCTGAACTATTTTAGTGATCCAAACTCATAGCTTCAGCTTGTTTTATTTTAAAAGTTTTCTAAACATCTTGTTTATAATAAGAGTATTGAACAAGTAAGATATTTTTGTGTAAGAAGGATATGGAGATAACGAAGAGTATTCAATTGCAAAGTCCATAAAACAATACAAAATAAGAGCAAAGCAAACATGGACACCAAAAACATCAGAGTTGGGATCAGGTGCCATAGAGGAGTGAGCATCCCCTCCCGACCGGTCACACCCGTCGTGTGCTCCTTGTCATGATCAGGAAATAACGAAACAAGAGGACAAAGGGTCTTGAATCGCTCTTCTGATAAATTGTACAACCTATCACTTCTATTTGAAGCCTCTAACCCTAAGTATCCTAAGACCAAAGTTGCACCACCTGACAAAGTTTGATGATTCTTAGCTAATAAGGACTACTTCTTGGTCTGCATTCTTGGAAAACCCAAAATGCATCAACTTACACAGTTTGATTATTTTAAGCCTATAAATACCTAAGATACTTAAATATAGCCATAAAATGCCGAAAATAGGTCACTGTGACCTACTTTTTGGTTGACATTTTCCACAGACCCAAGATGCATCAACTGACAAAGTTTTGATGATTCTAAGCCAATAAAAACCTAAGGTACTTAAATATAGCCATTAAATGTTGAAAGTAGGTCACCATGACCTACATTTTAGTCGACATTTTTTAGAGTCCAAAGATGCATCTGCTCACTAAGTTTGATGATTCTAAGCCAATTAATACCCAAGATACTTAAATATAGCCATAAAATGTCGAAAGTAGGTCACTGTGACCTAATTTTTGGTCGTCACTCTCCAAAAACCAAAGATGCATCAACTCACAAAGTTTGATGATTATAAGACAATAAGTACTGGAAATACTTAAATATAGCCATAAAATGTCAAAAGTAGGTCACCATGACCTAATTTTTGGTTGACATTTTTTGAAAACCTAAGATGCATCAACTGACAAAGTTTGATGATTATAAGCCAATGAATATCTTAGATACTAAAATATAGCCATAAAATGTTGAAAGTAGGTCACTGTGACCTAATTTGTGGTCGTCACTCTCCAAAAAACCAAATATGCATCAACTGACAAAGTTTGATGATTCTAAGCCAATTTGTACAGGAAATACTTAAATATAGCTATAAATGTCAAAAGTAGGTCACCATGACCTAATTTTTGGTCGGCACATTCCTAAAACCCAAGATGCATCAACTCACAAGTTTGATGATTCTAAGCCAATAAATACCCAAGATACTTAAATATAGCCATAAAATGTCGAAAGTAGGTCACCA